GAGTTACAGAAATCAGGTTCTTACGCTTCACAGACTTAGAATTAATAACCTGAGAGTAACTGGTGTTTGTCAGCAGATGAATTATAAATGTCACAAACTCCTAGCTAGAGGGGGACTCACTTCTTACTTGTGTGTGCTCTAGGAGGCTTCCTAGCCAGGAATATGCCACGGGACGGACTGAGGGTCTATATGGCCTTTTCTCTGCCTTGACCAGGGGTGTGCTTTTTATAACATCTACCTCTGTTTGCTGACTCCCTCTGATACCTTCAGTGACACTCTGTTCCCTTTTGGGACATTCTCTTAAGAAAGTGTGAATGTTCTTTATATTACACTCCATCTTCCTCTTACCTCAGGACCGCTTTCCCTGGAACGGGGTAGAAATTCCCTTTCTCTAAAGAGCTTAGATATTGCTGGAGTGACTTCTTACCTGCCTCTACCCCCATGCCAGACAGCCCTCCAATGGATGCTGGAGGAGGCTGGCCCCTTGAACATTGACCAGCCCCCCAGCCTCCTGACCTCCTCTGTCCCTGGCCAGGGCTTTGCATGGAATTATCTTTCTCCTCGCTTACTTCCTCTTTTTTTTTTTTAAATAAAAGATTATATTTATTTATTTGAGAGAGCAAGAGAGAGCGTGCAGGTGGGTGCGGGGAGGGGAGGGGCAGAGGGAGAATGGGGAGCAGACTCCTTGCTGAGCAGGGAGCACATGGGACTCGATCCCAGGACCCAGGATTATGACCTGAGCCGAAGGCAGACACTTAACCGACTGAGCCACCCAGGTGCCCCACTTCCTCTTTATTTATATTTGGCTATTTGATAAAATGTTTGCAAAAGGCCTCAGAAGAGTTAAATCATTTAGTAATGAAATAATATTTCATGATTCCCATTGACGGGACTGCAGATCTGGCTATTTCTTTTAATGGCACCACCACCTTCCCACCAACCTTGAAATCCTAAAATCTCAGAGTGGTGTTCATCTCCTCCTGTTCCCTTTCTCTGACATCTGATGGGGTGCCAAGCCTTGCAAATTCTTAACTTGTTTTCCCCCTGGGACTTCAACCTTAGGTTCAGCCCCAATCTGTCTTAGGCTTGTGTAATTGTAGTGACTTTCTTCCTTCCCTTTCGCTTACTACTGCTGTGCCTTTGGATAAGTGCCTAGTGCCTTGTGCACCAAATGGGGCTGGGAAGAGTGATACACAGGATACCATATAGAGAATGCTTAGACCAGTACATAGTACACAGTAGGTGCGACACAAGCGTTAGCTATGAATATTTGTATTGCTGGTCCCTCCACCTTTGCCAGATGCTCCGTTCCCAAACACTCCTCTGACCAGGCCCCACCCCTGCTCCCCGTCTGCAGTCTCCCCATGGTCTAGTTAGCAGCAGTTCCTAAAGTGAGCATGTGAGATGAATTGCCAGGGTGTGGGAAGAACAAATTATGATTTCTTTTATGTATTTTTATCTCATTCTTTTAAATTTTCTCCTTTGAGTATATTTTACACCGTATATTTTTAAATAAGGGTATACTCATAATTGATATATGTATATGATACAAGTGTATATTTTAACAAATAGATGAATTTATATGTATATGTGTATGCAGGTGTACATGTGTATATATATATATATATATATATATATGGTATGTCAAAAAATATCTTACTAACAGGACAGTGCAAGCCAGCAAGTTTGGCCTGGTCTGGAAGGTGGGATCCAGACCCCGAGCCTGGCATTTCCCTGTGGTGACCCCAGCCCGCAGTCCTGACTCCTCCTTGCAGTCCCTCTTCCTCGTGACCCTCACTCTCTCTCCCCCTGCCCCACCTTGTGCCTTTTGGTTCTGTCATCGCTCGTCCCCTCTCCCCACTCCTAGAGTGTTCTCCCTCATTCTCCCATTTTCTTTTCCTATCTAGAAGTTCACCTTCAGTGTCACTTGTTCCATCAAGCCTGCCAGGACAATTCTGGCCTGAAATCCTCCCAAGTTCTTTAGGCATTCTTTGTCAATGCTACTTACTTGGCCCCTGTTGTGTTCTGTGTGGTGTTGGGATCTTTTGCCGCCTATACTCAACGTCTTGGCTCCATAGTCATTCTATGTCCATTCGCACATGGGCATGCCTTGAAATGATATTTTATTTGCTGACTTTATTTTGTGCGGTTGGTCCTTTTTCTCATTTATCTGAAGACACATACCTATACTTTTTGGATGACATTAAGGTATGTATCTTTTGTCACAGTCATATATAATTCTTGACTGTAAGGAAAAAATTCATTTGTTACATTCGTGCTCTGAATCTCCTGGGATTTGAAAGCATCCTTCTGCTTGAGACATATTTTTGTCTACAGTGCATTAATGAACATTTTTTTGTACGTGGATTCATTGTTTTCTTTTTACTCCAGGTGACCTAAAATCATCACCCTTGTGTTTAAATGCCTTTATTTCAGCACTTACAGTCCTGAGTTGTGCAAGGCATCCCGGGAAGAGCGGGTACACAGAACCTACCCATTTGATCTGAACTTTCCCCCTCCTCAAACACTGTGAGAATTGACAGCAGCTGGGCAGTCAGTGGAGCTACCAATGGTCTTGGAGTCAGAAAACACAGGTTTTAATCTCGATTCTACCACCTGCTGATTGTTTGGTCTTGACCAAGTCATTTAACCTCATCTGTGAAATAAGTTTAGTAATCTCTACTATGTAGAACTATTTTGAGGTTTAATTGAGATAGTGGCTGAATGTGCTGGGCACCTAGGAAATGGTCAATAAGTGTCTGTTTAAAAGAAAAGGAAAAATAAGAATCTCCTTTGTCTTCTGTGAGCCTTCTGATGCAGGGTCTATTTTGGGGAGAAACATAGCTTCAGAGAATGCACCTACCTGACTGAGCAAACTTAAGCTGGAGAGTGAAGGCTGGACATCCAGTCAGCCTGGTTTTTGGGCTTGTCTCTAATAGAATGTCTGTGGCCTCCTCAGGGAACATGAGAATTAATTAGTTAATCTTTGTAAAGTGCTTTGAAGGTGAAAAGTGCTATGTAAGTAGAATGGTTGAATTGCTATTGGAGATGCAATAATGGCGGCACCATATCCTGGCAGCCTTGCTTGCCTTGGACATCAGTAATCAATAGGAGAGAAGATTCTAAGATGTCTTACTTGATAAGAAAGGATTCATTTTGGGATTTGTGATAACATAGTTCTTTGATAGTCTTGCAGATAGCGACTTGCCAGTTCTTTCCAGCAGAAGAATGTAGGGTAAGTTAAGAAGTAACAGTCTCATCCTCTAGCTTCTTTGGACTCTCCTTTCTAGGGTAGTCTGGTTATATATCCTACCGAGCTCAAGTAGAGGGACAGTTTGCTAGTTTTGGGTGCTTTGTGGGTCCTGGGCACATGGGCTTTTTTGTGGGTCCTACAGAAGTGAGGGAAAAGTGTTGAGTGTTGAGTGTTGGTTATCCATTGATGCAGACCCTGTATGAATAACCAATACAGAATGGTACCATGGGCTAGAAGAAGGAGATGTGGCTTAGCTGTGTGACCCTGGGCTGGCCACTTCTCTGAACCTTAACTTTTCACCTGTTAAATGGGAACATAGGAGTTGATGAGTATTGTAATAAAGGTGGCCCACAGGAGGGTGAGTTTCATCCTTTCTGTGAGGGATTGAGGGGTCAGAAAAGGTTTCACAGAGCTGGTGGTACATGAGCTGGACTGTACAGGTAGAGCCATAGTTTATCAAATGACTAATGTAAGGAAAGGGCATCCACGGCAAAAGGAACCACACTTGTGAGGCCATGGAATAGCACATCTGAGTGGATCCACTCCCGGTTCCTATTGCATACTTGATACCCCACGGGCTACACAGACTTTCTTCCCTCTGTGAGGAAGCTCACAACTTCTTGTGGACTCCTTGGTATCTACGTGGTATCTGTGAGCAGATTGATTCTCTGAACTGCATCCCTTCAGTATTCTGACATTTCCCCCATGAGTCTGTGGTTGTATTGTAGCTGACACTGCAAACCGTATGTTGAATATGGGGCCAGATGAAGCTTTGATACTAAACACAGTAGTATCATAGTAGTAGATTTGTCTAGTATTTAATATGCATTGCTTGATGTTTTGTCTCTTAAGCAAAGTTTTTCTTTGTGAAAATAAACATGTATAAAGAATTTATACAGCGCACATGGTTATGCATATTTATTGCAGAGAATCTGTTAATAATCTATGCCTCATCGGATTTTGCATTTCTGTTGAAATAACAAATGTGGCACTTGGTACAACTGAACGAGTTTGGTGGATTTTTTCTTATCTGGGAGAAGAAAGGCATTTCTCTTTTTCCAAACTCCCATTTTCTTCAATCATCTTCTGCACTGGCCAGCTTCCCAGGTGGTGCGTCTGGGGGACTGAGGCTTTCCTGGCTGTAAATGATTTTGTCTTTTTTCCCTTCTCTCACTCCCTTCCAGCTCACATAAACACTTGCCTTGGGACTATGAGAATTGCTTCTTTGGGTAAGAGCAAGAGTCTGAAGGTCCTCTTATGTGGAGAGAAAACACATGAAACTGGCCATTAAATTGTGCTAGGAGGAAGATGCTAAGAGATTGTGGCATGGGGCAAGGCAGGAGCCTTGGGGACTTCAAGGTGGCTGACGGCCTGAGAACAGACTTCTGGGCAAAGCACAAGGTGGGGTGGGGAGACCATAAGGTGTGGTCAGAGAGTTCCCTGTCACCCTGTCCCTGTCTGTTAAAATACAGGCGTGCAGGCTTTGGACTCTGCCTCCGCTGGAATCTGAGCTCTGGCGCTCACTGTTGTTTGATCTTGGTCATGCCATTTCTCCCCTCTGAATCTCAGGCCCCATGTCTGTGAAAGTGTGAATAGTTGTGCTCTCCCTACAGGAAGAAAGGATGGCTCCTGGTACGTGGTAGCTGGTACTAAAATAAATGTTTACACTTCCTCTTATAATTCATTGCCTGCCCGTGAGAGCAGAGCTGTGGAATGTAACCTTAATTCAACTAATGTTTGTTTTTAGAAACTGGCAAGGTGTTTACCTGGGGTCGAGCGGACTATGGTCAACTAGGGAGGAAGTTGGAGTCTCGTGAAGACTGGAAACTACAAAGTCAGGATCCATCACACCCCTGCTCAGGACCTCCGAAGAACATGCCTTCCTTTCTGCCTTGCTTAACAGGAGCAGCTGAGGTAGGAAGTGACTTTCCATAGAAGTGATGCATCTCTTTTCCTTGTCTTGCTCTGAAGCGTTGACTGCGGGCCTACTGTGTGCTTCTAGTGGGAACATTGTGGTGGGTTCCCTGCAGGACTCTGAAGGGGTCCTTGCCTCAAGTTGCTTGGGGTTCAATATGGTAGAAAAGGAAGGTACCCGGATAACTGTACTTCAAGGCAGACTGGGTGTAGCTCCTTTAGAGAGTTTGCAAGTACTTTGGGTCTGCTTCAAAGAGTGAGAGATGGATTCAGGCTCTGAGGATTGGGTTAGGCCAGTGTCATGGAGGACATGGCTTTGAGCTGTGCCTTGGAGGATGGGACGGACTTGAGCAAGCCGCTGTAAGAGAGAAGAGGACTTTCAGGTAGGCACAGTAGCCAGAACAGGGTTATGGGGGTAGGAAAGTGAAGAAAGTATTTGGGGATCCATGGTAGTTCAGTTTGGCTAGAGCAGGGGGTGTCTGTGGGGGCGAATATGAGGTAGTATCAGAAAGACAGGTTGGAACCTGATCAAGGGGGCCTTTATACTGAGCTAAGTATTCTGCACTTCTGTTTGTATTTCCCAGCGTGGAAAATATTGTAGTTCAGTTCCTTATTCAAGCCCCTTTAATTCCCTGAAATGTCTTGAATTTCTACATTTAAGGCAGGAGTCTTAATTTCTCCAGGGTGTGTGTTTCTGTTACTAAATTTTACTTTACTGCTGTCCTTAAAAAAAAGAAAAGGCTAGGTTTTTTTGAGAAGAATGAGAAAGGCCATGTAGGAAATGTGCCTCTGAACCCAAGTTGGCTTAATGAAGGAATTCAGTCTTCATTCAGAGTCTGTCAGAAAAATTAATAAGCTAGCGAGACTTCTGTAATTAGCATCAGACTAATTACAACCCTCTTCATACCTAGAGGGCTTCCCTTCCCCTGGGGCCTGCCTGGCCTTCTCCTTCCGGGTATGTAGGACGGTTCTCAATTTCTGCTTCACATCCCAGACCTGCTCCTCCTGGGCCTTTCTTTAGTGCTGGGGTTTAAGTCTGTCTGTCTTTCTCGCTCTCTCTTTATTTAATTGAAAAGACATTCATTAAACAAAACCACAAAGGCAATTTAGACATGGTAATAATAATGATAATAATAATAATAATAATAATACCATCCCTAATCTTAACCACCCTCACAACTGCATTCCTTTTTGCATATACGCATGTACCTCCTTTACAAATATATAGTGATAGCATTGATGATGTTTTGTATTCAGTCTTCATTTATTTGATCACAAATGCTTGCTTTATTTCTTCCTGATCTCTAAGGTCATTTAAAATGGGCCATATAACATTATATGAGTCAAAGGTTCTGGGATTTTCCAAACCATTCTTTGAATGTTGGACATTTATCTCATTTTCTCTTTTTTGTCACTATGGTGGACTCTGCAGTGAATACCCTTTTGAACTGTTTCTTTAAGATACAGTCTTGGGGATGAAATTGCAGGGGCAAAGGCCATGAACATCTTTATGACTTTTGCTGTATTTCTCTAGATTCTGTTTGAAAGGAGTTGACTCCCCCAGCAGTGAATGAGGGAATGCACTATTTTAGCTCGTATTGTCTGCTTAGCCAGGGAAGGTGCTGAGAGTTTGGCACTGAGTGCTTTAGACCCTTTACTCTTCTTTGTCTTTCTCAGAACATTTAAGACTTTGTGGTTAGATAGCATAGCAGAGGCCCAGAGGCTTCATGGATTTTTCGGAGTCTCTGGTTTCATTGGCAAGATGAGGATCATAATGCCTACCACAAAGTGTCATCAATGAGGACTACACATAGGGTTCTTGGCATGTGGCAGGCACTCAGTAACTGTTGGGCCCTTTCTCTTCTTTGCCTTTTAACACCATGTGGTGACCATCATGTGTATAGTACTGTGACAGATATGGCCAGGGCACACATAAAAACAGCCTAAGAGGCTGACATTGAGGTGACTTTTGTTTAGGTTCTTGGTGGGGCTCTCTGAGGAGTTGGCTTGAGCCCTGAGCCTTGGGGCTTCATTTTAGTGTCCCCTCCATCTCTCCTTCAATCTCTGGGGTGCTGGTGTGTATTCTTGCCAGTTTCCCTGCAGGTTCAGACCCCAGGCTGTGTCCTTTTGCTAAATTTCATCTGGGAGTTATCCCCGCTGTTGATGTTCAGGTCTGACCTGTCAGGCATCTATTTTCCTGAGGCCCAGAGCCAGGCCAGTGGGCAGCTCTAAGCTGCTGGGAGTGGATTCACCTTGGAAAAGATAAAAAGCCCTACTAAACTAGGTGTTGCCCTGGGAGGGGCTTGGCCAGGGAGGTCCAGGGACACCTGGGGAGCAGGAACAGCCTTGAACTAAGCTAATGATTCCTGACCTTCAAGGAATTGAGTGTGGCCCATAGCTGACCAGTTGCCTTATATGTCCAAGGGATAAGCAGAGTGAGGAGCAAGATGTCTGGGATCCAGAGTGACAGCCACACAGAAGGGAGAAGCGCAGGTGGTATAACCGTCCCTTTTTGTGAACAAAGGAAAGCAAATAAACACACCGTGACTTGGCGGTATATAAACACACCAAAAACTTTACGTGTATGATTTCATCTTCACAATAAAACTGGGTGCAAGTGTTATGATCACTGCTTTATGAGTAAGGAGACTCAGGCTCAGGATGGGTAAGTCACTGGCCCCAGATCACACAGTAGGTAAACAGCGGGGCTGGGACTTGAACTTGAAGTATTTGAAGCTCACATACTTTCCTTATAGATGAAGCAAAGTTGCATCTGTCCTTTTGCATATGTATCCTCACTTGGATAGAAGTTTTGGGAGTTTGGGATGCAGAGTCTCTGATCCTGAGAGTCTCAATTCTTTCTTCTGAGCCATGTCTCATTACCAGCCTGAGAAAGACTTTGAGATTGTAGCCCTGGCAGGCCTTTCTTTAATATTCTTACTACGGTGAAGACTATGTTGTTTCATGTTCCATCAGCTTGGCCTTAGATACTCGGCCCCTCTAGCCACTCTTGGAAAACTCCAGGGGTAGCAGAGTAATGGGGATTAATCCCCCCATGTACATATCTGGACAGAGTGTGTGTGAACCACAACAGCTTCCCCAGCCCCAGGTGGGGCTGCCACCTGCATAATTCCCATGGAACTTTGGCTCTAAACTCTGCCCAAAGGTGGAAGCATGCATTTCACAGTGGGGCAGAAGTGCTTGTGTTCACTTAGTGGGTATGTTGGGGCTCCCCAGGATTCTGAAGCAGCTAGGGCGGGGCACCCAATATGTGCATGGGACCATCAGAAGACTGGCTCGACCGAAGGCAAACAGCCTCTGAGGGGATGAGGATTGGGAGTCAGGAGACCTGGCTTCTAGCTTTGCTTCTGCCTGGATTGAGTGAATTTGGGCAAGCCCCTTTTCCTCCTGTACCCTTAGTTCCCTCAGATGTAGGTGGGGGATGTTAGACCAGGTGTTTCTTGATGTTTCTTACAGATCTAAGAGACCCTTCCATATCTGATTCTTATTTTATGGAAATGATCACTACATAAAGTTATAATGATTCCTGCCCCTGGAGTCCCTCAGGGTCATAGTCAAGATCACTTGACCCCTAGCTGCTGGCTCAACTATGGCAGACCTGGGCGTTTTAACTAATCCAGAGGTTCCAGGCTTCAGTACCACTCGAGCCTTTCTCTGCCTCTTTGCCTTGGCTCTGTTCTCTGCCCTTGTTCCTTGTCCCCAAGGGCCTTCTGTTCCAGTTTAGGTCATTGGGATTTAGTGTGATGCTGCTGCCTGGTCCCCCCAGGACTTGCAGTTCAGCTTTGATGGCTGTCCCTGTGGCTGTGACCTTATTGCCAGGGGCAGGCAGACCTCTGTGACAGTACTTCCTGGGTTCCCCACCTGCCACCCCTTCTGTGGGTTCTTTGTGTGCTCTTCCACCTTTCCTGCGTTCCTGAGTTTACCTCCTGCTTGGCTTTGGGATCTTGCCTATTCCATAGTCAACCCAGTAAACATTGGTTGACACCCGCCACGTGCCTATATTGACCACACGGTGGGGGTGGAGGGTGTGTGTGGATACAAAGGTAAAGATTTCATGTCTGGTCCTCAAAGAACTCCAGGTTTGTAGGTAAATCCTTACTGGACAGAGGGAACGTGCTGTGAGAGGTGTGTACGAAAGGCCAAGGGAACAGGGACGATGGAGTGATTTACGCCGAAGACACCCATGAACAGAAATGTTGTTTGAACTGGGTTCTTAAAAACGAGAGGAGTGTGGCAAAGGGAGCAGGACATTCCAGCAGAGGGGACAACGTGAAAGGAAGCTGTGAGTCTAGGTCTGCTCTAGCTCCTGGGCCGCTCGGGATGCCTGCCCGTTCCCGTGGGCCAGCCTCATTTCCCGTCTCGCTGCCTGTCCGGCCTGTCCCGCCCCTGTCATCCATCTTTCTGATAGGATTACTGTCTGAAGGAAAATAACTTCCACGTCCCTTATGTCATTTGCGCCCAGCATGATGCTGTGAAATAGGCCAGACTGGGAACGATTAGCCTCCTTTTACAGTTGAGGAAACTGAGGCCCAGAGAGGCTAGCTAGGAATTAGGAGAAGGCCCAAGACAAACAGCCTGATTCCCAGGGTTTCTGAGGGCCTTGCTCTGGGCTCCCTCTGCAGCCATGGGCCTGAGTCATGTTCCTGGTTTAAAGTCTTCCCACGTTTGGTTGAGGAGCGCCGAATCCCAGTCAGGGAGCTCAGTGCACATATGCACGCGCGCGCGCGTGTGCGCACACACACACACACACACACACACACGCAGCCCTTGGAGCAGGAGCAGGAAACGTGGAATAACAAGAGTTGAACAAAGGATTGGGTACTTGTTAAGCCCCAAAGCCATCACCCCTGACTTTGCTGCAGGACTGAAAGTGTTTGTTAGAGGACCTACCTGTGCACTGGGTCTGGGTGAGATCTGTCAGAATGAGTGGGAAAGAAGCTATTTTTAGTCTGCAGAGTCACTCACTCGGCTGTGCTAGC